ATAATGCGGTTTTAGAGCCACTTTGAAGCAGTAAAAAAAGGAGTTTCGAAGCAGCTCCGGAGCAGCAAGAGGTGCGTTTGTTTTGGAGCATCAAAATTTAGTTTTGGAGCAGGTTTCTCGAGCCACACACCACTGTTAATTAGTAGGTTTGTGCGAATAGTGAATTTCAGGTTTAAAGTAAACTCAAAGCGAATAGTAATTTTGGTCGAATAATTTCGAATTGAATTGAAGTAGTATATACAGTGGACCCTCACTAAACGGAAATCTGTTGAATGAAACTGCTGCTTAAATGAAACTTCCTCTGATATGATTGGTTTCATTTTTGAATGCTGCAACCCCCTTCACCTCACAGTAAACAGAACTCCTGCTAAATGGAACACATTTTCCCCATCCCTTCAGGTTTCGTTTAACGAGAGTCTACTGTAAGGCATAAAAGAAAACTGACATATTTATCATAACCTAATTGACCTGCACAACATTTTTTAATTGAAAATAAGGCATTTATGCAAATGCCATTTTTTTTTCATTCAAAGGAAGTCAGAACAACTTTGAGTAGTAGCAGGATCTGACTTTCAGTACGATGCGAGTGATAACCTGTAAAATACGTACCGTAATTACTCGAATGTAACGCGCACCTTTTTTCCGGTTAAGCGAGTTCATAAATCGCATGGGCGTTAGAATCGAGTACGAACAAAAAAATTACGACCAATCTATTGCCATCGGCAAATCCAAAATGGCCGCCCCCTACGTGCGTCGGCATGGCGCGTCAGCCATTTCTGCCTATGTGTTTCCCATGTGCGGCACTTCGTATGTGTGCAGAGGAGTTCATCATCTAGTAGTGCATTAGCATCGACGGCGTGGAAGGGCCGACTCCAAAAACTTGAGTGCACGCGATGCCGCTTTTAAAAGAAAAGTAATCGCGTGTGCAGAAACAGACGGAAATCGGGCCGCATCGCGGTCGTTTGGAGTTCCCGAAACGTGCGTGCGGGACTGGCGGAAACAAAAGCAGAAGATTGTCGACAGCAAAGCTTCACGCAAAGGCTTCAGTGGACCACAGCAAGGTCGGTTTCCGCAAATTAAAGAGCTGCTCGGCGAGTATGTGCTTGAGCGGCACGGCGGCCCGTGACGACAGAACTGCTCCGAGTGCGGGCTATGCAATTAGCCTTAGAAAAAGGTCTAATGCGGAGCCAGTTTAAAGTGAGCAGGTGCTGGCTAACTAACTTAATGAAGAGGAAAGGCTTTTCCCTCCGAAGGGAAATGGGCATATGCGAAAAGTTTTGCAAAGGAGTACGATGAAAAGCTTCACAGTTTTCGTTCTAAACTTGCGGCACAACAACGGCTACCTGCTTGGGCAAATCGGGAATGCCGATCAGACACCTCTTTACTTCGACATGCCTGGCACCACAACCGTCGAGAAGAAGGGGGCGAAGCAAGTTCATGTGCTGACATCGGTCCATGGTAAAACTACAGTGACGACAATGCTCTGTTACACGTCAGATGAGCACAAGCTTCGCCCGTACCTCATATTTAAATGGAAGACGCTCACGAAAGAAGTCGTTTTTTCGAGTGGTGTGATCGTGCGGGCCAGCGAGAAAAATGGGTGCGCGTTGCAATCGATGTCTTACGTCTTTTTTTTTTTTTTTTTCGGTGGAAATCGGGTGCGCGTTACAATTGAGGGCGCGGTAGAATCGAGTTAATACGGTAACATTTTAAAATTTAGATTGGAGCATACGAGCAATCATAACTTTTTAAGCTTAAAAAATGATGAACTGATTTGAGGGTAATATGTTCTTTTAAATAAGCCTTGGTACACTTCTTCAAGTAGCCATAGAATGGATTCCCTAAAGAAGCTTATTGCCTCCCAAATTCACTGCCACAGGAATTTTTACAATTTGTCTAAAACGAGCGGAGTTACAAAAACTTGTCGCATACTGCAATTGCATTTTCTCTTCTCATCCTGACGAAAGCGCTGGAGGCTAAGCATGGAGTGATGGCATGGAGAGAGAAAAAACATCACACCCTTGAGCTCTTTCTTTCTAACTCTCTTGTTTCGTTGTTGTTTTTTTTCTTTTTTTTTTGAGTATGCTGCCTTTCACAGGGATCGTGCATGTACGCCTGCACAAGTGGCGGCCTCCCGAGGCAGCACCAGTAACGACCAAGCACGCCATATTCAATTCAGGCAATGGCTGATACAACGGCTGTGTGGATTGATTTTTGAGCTTGTGGCATTATTTTCCCAGAGAAGTGAGCAATTCTTTTACTGACTTTGAGAATTTATTGTGAATTGCAGGCAACACACTGTGCTATGATATTTGGCTCGCGTGTTCTCAGCGGCCTCAACCACTGAGTGGCCGCGTTTTCTGACCATGCTGAAAAAGTGTTGCAGAGCCCCTTTAAATTTGAAGTGAAGCTTCGTGGCAGAGCGAATTTCCCCTTGACGCGTACTTTCACGGTTCAGCACACCTGAGCTGCAGTGAAACCACCTTTACAAGCAATTACATGCGGATTGATATACACCTGTTCGTTCATTGTGAATTCTTCGAAATTTTCTGAAGAGACCATCGAACACGTCCTGTGCAGCTGCGCTTGCTACGACACACAGCGATGCCAGCTCCGGAAGGTTTTGAATCAACTTGACCCCGGACCATTTTGTGTGCAGAAGATACTAGGACCTTGGGCATCTGCCTCAGTTGCGCAGAAAGACACTAATGCACTGCTAATTTACCTAAAGTCAACAAACCTGAGCGACCGCCTGTAGACTGTGTGTGCTCCCCGAGTGTGCTCGTGATTGTGTGTACCTTCTCATCTCTCTGCAACCTCTTTTCTCCCCTTTATCTCTTCCCCAGTGCAAGGTAGCAAACCGGATGTGCGTCTGGTTAACCTCCCTGCCTTTCCTTGCATCTTTATCTCTCTCTCTTTCTTCGAAATTTTCAATAATTTAAATTGAAATCGAAGCAAATTCAATTACTATACTATTCAATCGAATATTCGAAGCATTCAAATTTACACACAAGCCTAATAATAAGAATTCCTGCTTTCGAGTAAATACAATACATTTCAGTGCTCTTTATTAAGCATGAAATGCTGATCAAGCGACCAGACTTATCCCAAATTCATATATATTAAACTTCACAATACTAAATGTGAAAGCGCTGCATCTAAAAAAAAACATAAGTGGCGCTCTGGACAGCTACTAGAGCTCAAATGAATGAAAAAAATTTGTTAGAATGTTGCAATGCTTATAATGTGATTAAAACCCTGCATTCAACATGAACAGCAACTAAAGTCTAGAGATGAGCTACTATAAAAGGAAATTTATCTTTGTACTGAACCCATAGGGTTTTATAAGAATAAATGTAAAAAACTCATGTTCTGGTCATTGAAGTGCCACAGCTGATATGAGACCCACAAGAAAATTTAGATGCACTTGCCGTGCTATTGCTAGACAATTAAGTGAAAATTTTTCATTACGACAGAAATTATATGGACACTCGACGGGTTTTCGCTATCGCCGCTATATTCTGCCTAAACTACAAGCTGGCAAGCAGAAATTAAAAAACATGCCCGATCTCCGTCGCTCGGAGGGCACACGCATTAGCATCCCACTGCGTGTTAGAACTGCCGTCGAATGCTCAAGCAGAGAGGAGACATTTCGCCAGTCTTGTCGCCTGTTTTGAACGAGCATGAAAAGACATGGGGAAAATGGGGGGGGGGGGGGGGGTCCCTAGAACAGAAACTGTGAACTTTGATTCCAATCAAGGGGATAATTGCAATAGCTGGCGCGCACGATATTGGCTCGTAAACCATTTTACATGGTCCGCTCTCAACGGGAAGAGATCGTGCGATAAAATCAGTTCTCCCCAAACAGCTGTACTTTTTTTCTCACACCAGGGTTCTGTAGAGTGTCACGATGTTGGATCCAAAGCAATTAGCTGTCAGCCATCGTATTGTCACGGGGTCAGAAAGCAGCCTCTCTTTTCATGAACTTTTTATTTGAGCTAACTTGTGCCCAAAAAACGAAACATCACACTTCAAGCAATACACGCTGCAGACTGATAGTGGCAAACACAGAGCATCGGCCATCGATAATCTGCCACACAGCAAAGTGCTGCAGCATTTATACATGTGGCATAGAAAATTCTAGCCTTATCGCTAACGGCCACGTAAGTCCCAAAATAAACTGCAATGCACCTGTTGTGCGCGTAATCTCACCGGAAGGTTCTAAGAATATCTAGATAGTCCCTATAGTCATTCAGGCATGGTTTGCGCAGGCAGCGTTACACGCGTAATGGTGCGGTATCGAAAAACCTGAAAAAAAAAAGAGCGCGTGCAGCACTACCACTATAACATTACAAATTGCTGCTATTGCAGTCACTTCTACGCCGGTGAGACCGTTTTTTTTTTTTTTCTTCAGCTTATTGACAAAAACTGGCCGCACAATCGCTGAGCAACTGGTGAGCACAGCACGCGCTCGGCGGTTGCTCGGCAATGGTGCGGCGGCCACAGCACTGTCATTTACATAGCTTGCCTTACAGCTTTGCTGTTAAAACATACATAATGAGGTATGCACACAAACGCCACCTTAAGAAGAATCATGCATTGTGTTCACGTGGCGCAATGTTCAAGCATGATCCAAATTACGACGTTTGACATGGACGCGGCTGCATCCTTTGTGTAGCCCACGCGTGTCCCTTGGCCGATAACAAAATTCTCGACTAAATTTGGCGTTGCACTTGTAAATTGCCGTTTAGGCACACCTTGGCGGAGCAGGTCAGATTGTCACAGCATGACACAATTCGCACAGCACTTCCACCCTTACACTCATTATTCTCTGGCGAAAAAAACTGAAGAGCCAAAGAACAGTAATGCATGCTTGTGCATTTCATGCCAGGCACATGAAGTCGACGAACAGCCAACATGAAGAGTTGACCTTTGTCACCTGACCAAGATTAAGCACCTACAGTGTTGTCAAAAAATGGTACACCATGGGAGTAGCTTACCTGAAGTGCTCGAGCAAGCGGCGTGAGTCTTCTGTACAATTGTTTTCCCTGAAAAGAGAAGCCCAGTTGGTGCTCATTGGCCTGTGTGTGTGTGTGTGAGCACACTCACCCGAGGTGGCAGGTGTCCTCCCTGTGCATCCATTGCCTCGGTCATGAGCCAGGCGAGCACTGCACACAGCCGCTGCTGTTCTGTCTGTCGAGCTTTGCGCACCGCCACCAAGAGCCGGTCACATGGCTTGAGCCAGGCATTTATAGATGGTGTCATCGTGCTAAGCAGATGCCAGTCCAGCCTGATCACACCAAGCCACTGATCAGTCACTGCTGGGCAAGCATCGCATATGCGGCCATATACAGTAGAACCCCGATATGTCAGAAAACAAAACAGCATGAAAGGGATACACACAACAGTGCTGACTCGCAGCCAAATTTATTCATCCACATATATTGCACAGTCCTAAATGAAAGAAAGAACAACGGTACATGATTATAGAATGATAAAAAGGATCAAAATACCACCCTCATCACTGCCAACCATGTACATTGAGCATACAGCCATCTGACAAGTAATAAACTTTATTACTCATGGAGGCAATACTTACGCATGCCCATCCGAGCCATTCCATTTTCAATGCCTCCAAATTTTCTCATGTAAGCTGGTGCCGATGACGCTTGACAACCGTGCGCTGCTGAAATTCAGGAATGCAACCACACTCTCATCTCTTCTTTTTTGCGTTTCGACCTACACAAATATATATTGTGCTGTATTGACGAATAAATTTTTAGGTAAGCATTTCTCTTTGTGTCCTCCAATTTTTTAGCGCTCAGTTTTTTGTGCTGTTTTATTTTCTGAGTCTCCGTACCGAAATGCCTAAGCATCCAGTTTAGTTGCATCTATTTTTAATACAATAGGCCCTTTTAATTGTTTGACTGTCCATTCTTGTGTCATGATAACTTTGTATGCCATTGGTCTTTGCAATGCATAAAGATTCTCCTTTCTCAACCAGCATAAGCATCTACCCAAGAAATGCTCACCCTCTTTGGTGGCTTCAAGCTTTTGCAAGGACATGGAGTTAGAATTCTCAAAGCCATGAGTCTTAAGTCGCACCGAAAAGGCACCGTTCTATAAGAAGTGCCTGTTGCTTCCACTCCGAGGTGATACATACACAAATGAAAGCAGGAGATGGCGAGAGCACCGCAACTTTGTGAATTCGACTGCTGAATTTCGCTGGAAACTGGTGCTCATGGAGCTTCGAGATTCGTTACCAAAGAAGTCTTGGCAGGGCAGGCACTCTGCTCGTTCCTTGTGTTTAGTGTCCCTTCCTAATGTTATGGGGGTTTATTGAGGTACACAGTAACCAGGAAGATACCAGTAGCAGCAAGCAAAGCGTAGCCAGGGAGCGAACAGCCGAGCAAGCCAGGCGATGGCAATGTGCTTTCGCAAGTGTCCATCTTCTTCCTCACAATAACCCCCGCTATCGAGAAGTACCCATCCTGGCGACCTAAAGAAAGGTCAGGGGGTCATAATAAGGCTTGAGACGGTTAATGTGGCCTCTCTCTCGCCGCCGCCAACAAAGATCGGAAGATGGCGTAAAGGGTTCAATCACATAATTAACGGGAGAGGTCTGCGCAACCCCGCGGTAGGGTCTGTGATACTTCGAAAGAAGCTTAGACGAAAGGCCGGGAGCAGCAACTGGCGGGACCCAAAGCCACACGAGAGAGTCGACAGTGAAAGGGTCAGGAGGGATGTCGGAGTTGTGACGCTGTTTTTGGCGACACTGTTGGTTGTAGGTGAAAAAATGGGCCAGTTGTCGGCATTTCTCGGCGTAGTGAGCCACCGCAGACACAGGCTGGTAGTCATCAACATCTGAATGATATGGTAGAATCGTATCAATGGTGCTAGTGGGTTCACAGCCCTATAGCAAGAAGAATGGTAAGAATCTGGTGGTGGCTTGGGAGGTGGTGTTGTAGGCGAATGTGACAAATGGAAGAACAAGATCCCAAATGCAGTGGTCTGACGCAACGTACATCGACAACATGTCAACCAGAGTTCGGTTAAATCGTTCCGTTAATCCGTTTGTCTGTGGGTGATATGCAGAAGTGGTGCGGTAAATAATTCTGCATTCGGATAGGAGTGATCGCAACACTTCTGAGAGAAATACACGGCAGCGATCACTGAGCAGTTCATGAGGGGTGCCATGGCGGAGAACAAAGCTGCGTAGAATAAACAAAGAAATGTCCTCGGCTATTGAAGCAGATAATGCAGCGGCTTCGGCATATCTTGTCAAGTGATCCACGGCGACGACAATTCAGCGGTTGCCAGCACCTGTGCATGGGAGAGGCCCGTACAAGTCAATGCCAACGCGATCAAATGGGTGGGCTGGGCAGGGAAGCGGCTGGAGAGCCGCTGTGGAGCGGTGCGTGACTGGTTTGCGTTGTTGACAGGCGAGGCATGAGCGAACGTATTTGCAGACGAAGCTGTACATTCTGCGCCAATCATAGCGTAGGCGAAGGTGCGTGTACGTCTTGAACACGCCGCCATGGCCACACTGAGGGTCCTTGTGGAAAGCAGAGCACAGATCTCGACGAAGATGGTGGGGCGCGACGAATAACAATGTGCGGCCATCGTTGTGGTAGTTACAGCGGTATAAAAGACCATCATGGATAGTGTAATGCTGCACTTGGCGGCGTAGCGCTCGTGCAGCCGGGGTGGTCAGGGGGCTTGACAAAAAGTTTAGAATTGTGATGATCCAAGGGTCATTTCGTTGCTCCGAGGCCATGTCCAAGATGTCAAGTGGAGAAATATCGTGATTGTGACTAGATGCGCTGGCGTCTGAAATGAGTGGGAAGCGTGACATGGCGTCAGCATCAGAGTGTTGTTGGCCAGAACAATATACCACACAAATGTCGCATTCCTGGCATCGGAGCACCCACCTAGCTACGCGACCTGGCAGTTCATGAGGTTTGAAAATCAACACAGAACGGGGTGACCTGTTACGAAGTTAAAAGGACCACAGTAAAGATAGGAGCGAAACTTCTGTAGAGCCCATATAATGGCCAGGCACTCTTTTTCGGTTACGGTGTAATTGGTCTCAGGTTTTGTGAGTGCATGACTAGCATCTGCAACCACGTATTTGGCGTTGGCATCGTCACGTTGTGCGAGCACAGCATGAAGAACGACACCACTAGCCCCAGTTTGAATTTCTGCGCGTGCGCTCGGAGCTAAGTGACGCGAAATTGGTGGAGATTTAAGCAGGCGTCAAAGTGCCGTAAATGCGTCGTCAAAAGCTTCTGACCAGGTAGATAGTTCGTTGTTGCCTTGAAGGAGTGCATTGAGAGGTGCGATGAAAGTAGCAAAATTTCGAACGAAGCACCGAAAATAGGACCATAGGCCAATGACGATGCACAATGCTTTCAGGTTAGTAGGCTTCGAGAACTCGGATACCACTCAAAGTTTAGCAGAATCAGAAAGACTGCCTTCTTTGGAGACGACGTGGCCTAGCATAGTTAGTTTTCTAGCGGCGAATACTCACTTTTTCAAGTCAAGCTGGAGGCCGGAAATTTGAACACAGGTCAAAACTTGTGCAACCGTTGTAGATGGGTCGGCAAATAAGGTGCAATGACGACACTATCATCTAAATAGCAGAGGCAAGTGTGTCACTTCAAGCTCCGTAAGATGCCGTCCATCATGCGTTCAAAGGTGCCGGCGCGTTACAGAGACCAAATGGCATTACAGTGAATTCGTACAATCCATCTGGTGTTACAAACGTGGTTTTCGAGCGGGCAGTTTCAGCCATGGGCACTTGCTAGTAGCCAGAGTAGAGATTCAAGGAAGAAAAAAACTCCGCTCCTTGCAAGCAGTCGAGTGTGTCATCAATTCGTGGCAACAATACACATCCTTTTGGGTAATCTTGTTAAGCTGATGATAATCGATGCAAAATCGTATTATGCTATCTTTCTTCCGAACAAGGATGACAGGTGATGCCCAAGGACTGTTGGAAGGTTGAATGACACCGCATTTAAGCATGTCATTCACCTGGTCATCGATAACGTGCCTTTCACTCGCCGGTACTCGGTAAGGACGCTGTCGAATGGGCGCGTGGCTTCCGGTGTCGACAGTATGCGAAGCAGTCTTTGTGCGGCAGAGTGCCCTTGCTTTGCAGTGAAAAGAGGAAGAGAAATCGTCAAGCAAGCGAAGAAGTTGGTGTCGTTGTGTCGCCGTAAGGTCGCTGGCTATAGCTGGCATGAAAGATTGCGGTAGTGGCCCATTAGTTGATGTCTCGAGGGTGGCCGTATCAGTGGGGTCGTTCATGGTCTCGAATATCGAAGATGACGCCAGCAGCTCGGCTTTGCTGAGGGTTTCCCGGCGTCGCAAAGTGATTGGCTCGGGCGATGGATTGGTGATGTACGTCACAGAGGCGCCTGATTGAAACTCGAGAATGGCAAATGGCAATGGAAGTGATCGGCAGCGAACTAGAAGCGTAGACGGTGCGAAAAGCACTGAGCCATCATCTCTAGAGTCACAAGAGATGGAGACAAAAACAGTAGACTGGGCAGGCACAATGGTGTCATCACAAACTGTGATTTTCCGGCATGTGTACTTGTCATCGATGACGTCTGTCGAAAATGAGAACAACTCCAGTTCAGCGCGAGCGCAATTGATGATCGCACGATGTGTAGAGAAAACATCCCACCCTAATATGACATCGCGAGAACAAGATGGCAGCAGAATGAATTCGATCCCATAAAGAACATGCTGGATGACGACACGGGCTGTGCAGGCACCGGATGGCTCGACGTGCTGCGCGTCGGCTCTACAAAGGGATAGTCCAAAACAGGCGTCGTGACTTTTCCGATATGGCGGCAAATGTGGGCATCAATCGCAGAAATGGCAGCGCCGGTGTTGACAAGGGCAAGCGTCCATTTTACTTCTATAGTGACTTCAATAACAATTCGGGGAGAAATTTAAGGCTTTGTGCATTTCGCCGGAACCGCAGTTCTCGCCTCCTGAACTACGCCATTTAGTTTTCGTGGCGCACAGGGCTCCGCCGTCGGTGCATGAGGGTAAGGGAGCGTCGGCGAGGAGAAGGCGAGCAGCGAGAGGAGGGTGGGGTCCGGGAGGTAGGATCAGATTCGTGGTCGTCTGAATAACTGCGGCGGGGTTGACGTGGCGCATACGTGGGCCATGGTGGACGCACACTGTTAGAGTTAGGTGGTGCACGAAAGCGACAGTAACGGGCCACATGTCCAACTAGGCCATAATGAAAACAAATTGGACGGTTGTCTGGCGTGC